TGAAGCAATTGTGAATGGGAGTTCACTCATGATTTGGCTTTCTGTTTGTCTATTATTGGTGTAGAGGAATGCTTGTGACTTTTGCACATTGATTTTGTATCCTGAGACTTTGCTGAAGTTACTTATCAGCTAAGGAGATTTTGGGCTGAGACAATGGGGTTTTCTAAATATACAATCTTGTCATCTGCAAACAGGGACAATTTGACTTCCTCTTTTCTTAATCGAATATCCTTTATTTCTTTCTCCTGCCTGATTGCCCTGGCCAGAACTTCCAACACTATGTTGAATAGGAGTGCTGAGAGAGGGCATCCCTGTCTGTGCCGGTTTTCAAAGGGAATGCTTCCAGTTTTTGCTATTTAGTATGATATCGACTGTGGGTTTTGTCATAAATAGCTCTCAGTATTTTGAGATACATCCCATCAATACATAGTTTATTAAGAGTTTTTAGCATGAAGGGATGTTGAATTTTTTCAAAGGTCTTTTCTGCATCTATTGAGATAATCATGTAGTTTTTGTCTTTGGTTCTGTTTATATGACGGATTATGTTTACTGATTTGCATATGTTGAACCAGCCTTGCATCCCAGGGATTAAGCCAACTTGATCGTGGTGGATAAACTTTTTAATGTGCTGCTGGATTCGATTTGCCAGTATTTTGTTGAGGATTTTTTCATTAATATTCATCAGGGATAGTGGTCTAAAATTATATTTTTTTGTTGTGTCTCTGCCAGGCTTTGGTATCAGGATGATGTGGGCCTCATAAAATGAGTTAGGGAGGATTCCCTCTTTTTCTACTTGTTGGAATAGTTTCACAAGGAATGGTACCAGCTCCTCTTTGTACCTCTGGTAGAATTTGGCTGTGAATCTGTCTGGTCCTGGACTTTTTTTGGTTGGTAGGCTATTAATTATTGCCTCAATTTCAGAACCTGTTATTGGTCTATTCAGGGATTCACTTCTTCCTGGTTTAGTCTTGGGAGGGAGTATGTGTCCAGGAATTTATCTATTTCTTCTAGATTTTCTAGTTTATTTGGATAGAAGTGTTTATACTGTTCTCTGATCGTAGTTTGTATTTCTGTGGGATCAGTGGTGACATCCCCTTTATCATTTTTTATTGCGCCTATTTGATTCTTCTCTCTTTTCTTCTTTATTAGTTTTGCTAGCAGTCTATCAATTTTTTTGATCTTTTCAAAAAACCAGCTCCAGGATTCACTGATTTTTTGAAGGGATTTTTATGGCTCTCTCTCCTTCAGTTCTGCTATAATCTTAGTTATTTCTTGCCTTCTGCTAGCTTTTGAATGTGGTTGCTCTTGCTTCTCTAGTTCTTTTAATTTTAATGTTAGGGTGTCCATTTTAGATCTTTCCTGCTTTCTCTTGCAGGCATTTAGTGCTATAAATTTCCCTCTACACACTGCTTTAAATATGTCCCAGAGATTCTGGTATGTTGTGTCTTTGTTCTCATTGGTTTCAAAGAACATCTTTATTTCTGCCTTCATTTCGTTATGTACCCAGTAGTCATTCAGGAGCTTATGTACCCAGTAGTCATTCAGGAGCAGGTTGTTCAGTTTCCATGTAGTAAGCGGTTTTGAGTGAGTTTCTTAATCCTGAGTTCTAGTTTGATTGCACTGTGGTCGGAGAGAAAGTTTGTTATAATTTCTGTTCTTTTACATTTGCTGAGAAGTGCTTTACTTCCAACTATGTGGTCAATTTTGGAATAAGTGCTATGTAGTGCTGAAAAGAATGTATATTCTGTTGATTTGGGGTGGAAAATTCTATCGATGTTTATTAGGTCCATGTGGTGCAAAGCTGAGTTCAATTCCTAGATATCCTTGTTAACTTTCTGTCTCGTGGATCTGTCTAATGTTGACAGTGGGGTGTTAAAGTCTCCCATTATTATTGTGTGGGAGTCTAAATCTCTTTGTAGGTCTCTAAGGACATGCTTTATGAATCTGGGTGCTCCTGTATTGGGTGCATATATATTTAGGATAGTTAGCTCTTCTTGTTGAATTGATCCCTTTACCATTATGTAATGGCCTTCTTCATCTCTTTTGATCTTTGTTGGTTAAAATCTGTTTTATCAGAGACTAGGATTGCAACCCCTGGTTTTTTTGTTTTCCATTTGCTTGGTAGATCTTCCTCCATCCCTTTATTTTGAGCCTATGTGTGCCTCTGCACGTGAGATAGGTCTCCTGAATACAGCACACTGATGGGTCTTGAGTCTTTATCCAATTTGCCAGTCTGTGTATTTTAATTGGAGCATTTAGTCCATTTACATTTAAGGTTAACATAGTTGTGTGTGAATTTGATCCTGTCGTTATGATGTTAGCTGGTTATTTTGCTCAATAGTTGATGCAGTTTCTTTCCAGCATTGATGGTCTTTACAATTTGGCATGTTTTTACAGTCTTTTGCCCATTTTTAAATTGTGTTGTTTTCTTGCTAATGAGTTGCTTGAGTTCTTTATATATCTTGCATATTAATTCCTTATCAGATGTATAGTTTGTAAATATTTTCTCCCATTTCATAAGTTGTCTTCTACCTCTGTTGATGATTTCCTTTGCTTTGCAGAAGCTTTTTAGTTAGATGTAATTCTATTTGTCTGTTTTTGCCTTTGTTTCTTTTATTTGCTTAGATCAATCTCATGAAGTGTGGCTTTATGTTTTTAGATGACCATCTTTCATTTAATGTGCAATCATTGTAATTTTGGCATTTTAAAAATAATTCATTTATTAAAAAACTAATTGTTGAGCAATTATTACATACCAGGCTTTCTGCAAGTGCCAGTGATCCAGAGATAACAAGGGAATCTCCTACTCTCAAAGAGCCTGCCATCTAGTGGGAGATGCAGGAATGTAATTGAGTAGAACAGAATGAGATTAGCTGCAGAAGAGCCATGAGAAAAGAACAAAGTTCTAAGAGAACATAAAGGGGTGGCACTACTTACTTTTGTGAAAAAAAATTCAGGAAAACTTATACAGGGAGGAGGAGTTTAATGTAACTATGTAGGGAGCTGTCATGGGTATTCCAGTTAAAAGAAACGTGTCAGGAGCATAAAAGAGGCTGGCCCATTGGGTTGGCTGCACATGTATGTGTTTGTTAAGGTTTGGGAGTGTGTGAGTGAATGGTGGAAGGTGAGTCTGGAAGGAAAAGCAGTACTAGATCTTGAGCATTCTTATATATGACAATGAAAGATTTGCAATTAATCCTGTAGGCAATGGAAGTTAGCAAAGAGGCTCTCAGTAGGGAAATGGCATGATTAGATTGAGGCTTTCGGGTGATCACTCTGGCAAAGCTGCAGAGAACAGACTGAGAGGACGCCCCAGACTGGGAAACTAGTTAGTCCACTACAATTGGCCTAACATTTGAGCAGTGTGGGAAGAAAGGAGGAGACATGTCAAAGAACTACTCAAAAGGTATACTTAGTCCAGTTTGGTTGAGAATGAATGACACGTGGGTAGATAGCAATGAGTCTAAGATGCTCCCTATATATCAGTATTTGGAAATTAGAGGGAAGAGAACACATTGCTCCATGCTAAGGACCAATATGAGGAGAAGCATTTTGAAAAGAAGATGTGTCCAGTGTTCAAGGAGTGATGGTGCAGTAAGGTAGAGATCATTAAAGAGCCAATTTGAAGTTTAGAATGAAGTCTGGGTGAAAAATCAAATGCGATTAGTGGAAAGTCTCTTAGAGGTTAACCTATAATTTCTATGAAAACACAGGAATTTATTTTCATATTCCTAATAGCAAACGCAAAACCTTTAACTACACATATATTTAATAAATACATTTTATAGGTACCTATGTAAAATAAAGTATGACCACCACACAACAAACTCAGTGGCAGAAAAGGTCCAGTGCAATCAGTATATTTAAATTCTACTGAGAGCATTGCAAATTAAAACTACATTTAGGGAGACTATATAGCAATATATAATAAGAGCTATAAAGATGATCATATCATTTTACCCAGTAATCCTACTCCTTGTTATTAAAGGAAATAATTCAGTGTATATTAATGAAACTGACCTTATAGTTCTGATCTTTATAATAAGTTATAAGAAAATGGTTTAATGTATATATGTATATATTTACTCAAAGTAGAAATATGAAGTCTAAAAAAATGGGAAGATATTTAAATTGGTGTTAAAACAGCATTTAAAATGACCACAATTATGAGAACACATGTATGCCAATACAGGTTCACTGGAAAAAATATTAAAAATGGAAACTGTCAGATGGTAAGATTATAGATCATTTTATTTCCTTTTTATCTGAAATAAGTTGGTACCTCACAACTTTTCAAAAGCTTCTATAAATGTGTATGTCAAGTTGTAATAAAGCAAACATATGCATATAGACATGCTTGAATAGTTATTAATTGTTTCTTGGGTACCTGGGGAGATTGGGGTGAAGAAAGGGGGGCAACTTGAATAAAGGTGGAGGAGAAAAATGACAGAAAAGAAAGCAAAGGATTGCGAAGCTCAGTGTGGCAGCAGCCTCTCTTCCCCTCCTGAGAGAGTCAAAGGCTGGCACCAGGGACTCATAATCCATGGCTGTGGAAGCCTCATGTCACACTGGATGTCACATGAGGTGGGATGGAACACAGTGACCACTCCATCTCATTTCCTTTACAGTTTCCGTGCTGGGCCATGGCAGTGAACAGCCTTCAGGCATGTCTACAGCGGAAGATCTGAATTCAGGCTGGTGGCAAGAGACAACACAACCACGTTTTCTTTTATGCATAGATTAGGTTTCATTGACACATTAACCACAGATAAAGGGGTAAAGACCACAAGGCATTAGGTTAGTATGAACAGGGAAAAGGGACTTTTTTTTTAAGAAAAAAAAAAAAAGCATCAGTATTGCAAAGACTTTCCATGATCCCACACCCACCTAGAAAGCCCCCTCTCACCACAGGAAGTGCGCTGACCATTGGAGGCATAAAAGAGGTCCTCAAAGAGCCTGATCCTCACTCTCTCCCTGCACAGCTCAGCAGGACCTCAGCCATGAGATTTCTCACCCTGGCCCTCCTTGGCATCTGCTGTCTCACTGCATACATTGTGGAAGGTAAGTCAAGAAGCTGTCCGTGAGATAAAGAACAGGGAGGCAAGGCAGGTGGGCACACATTTTGGGTTTGACTCAGGTTTTGACTGAAGTAAACTGCTTTCCCCAGGCGAGCCTTAAACTTCCCATGTGCAAAAAAGGAATGATGATTTTGACTGTAGGGGGCTTCATAAACTCCCAGAACAGGGAGAATTTGGTTAGTATCTGGGCTCCTACTTTTCCTAATTGGGTAATTTTGGGCACATTTCTTAACCACTCAGGGCCTATGCTTATTTATGTATAAATTGAATAGAATAACAGACATGATCACTTGATATTAAGATTAAATAAATATTATGGTTTATTTATTTAATAACATCAGATTTCCTTAGAAACAGTAATTTTTTGATTAATGTTAGCTATGGATTAGAGGCAATGATTATAAATGCATTTGTAGCTTTTGCCCATTTAATATATTGTTTGATAAATTATCAAAATCTTTGAGAGTTCAGTTACAATGTGGGGATTCACCAGAGAATGTATATTCTGGAGCAAATCAGTGTTTTCAATACCAAACCTGTGTGAAGGTGACAGTGTGCTTCCTGTGGACTGGATGTCCCAGTCTTGCCTTCCTTCCCCTTGATAATGCAATAAGGGACCCCTTTTAGGACACAGCACAGGCAGAAAGATAACCGGCTTGATGGGGTTCACACCAGGTGCAATCACTACCAGCTGAGGCTTCTTGTTTTCCAGCAAGGTGGTGATGGTGTTAACCCCTGCTCAAAGAAAGGGTGATTTCCTATGGGGACACCACCTTTGCCAGCAGGTTTCTTCTCAGCCTGGGCCAGCAGTCTCTGCTTCTTCTCTTGCTTTGTCTCTGGTCAGTACTTGTGAATCAGCTTAAGTGGCTGAGTAGCTGTTTGGGGGTCTAAGGCCTGGGAGAGCTGGTTAATGGCAGAAGGTACTTTCAGCTGCTTATAGAGGATAGCTCTTTGCAGATGGAAGCAGATATAGTGGGGCCATTTCACAAAGCAGGTGAGGTCCCTTTTGGGCTGGATATCCTGCCCAATGCCTGCCTAAGAAAACTCTTAGGCCTTTTCTCACACAGAGGTTTCATCACTTTCTTAGCCTCCAGCTTCCTCACGACAGCAGGGAGTGGGGCCACCTTCTTTCCTTTGGCCTTCCTTCTTTTCAGCATCTTGGCGGCTGACAGGGAGAGACATTTTACCACTTAAAAATGAGAACACCTTCATTTACTCAGTCAAAAACATGCTTCCTTCCCCCACTGAATGTTGCCTTGCATAGAGTACTCTTCACGCGTTACTCTGTAATCTCACTCTAACACGTTGCACTATTTGACATGATCTTTTCTGTTTACCTGTCTGTGGCCTGGCTCCCTCAGTAGAAGATATGCTCCATGAAAACGGGGATAAAGTCTGTCTTAACAAAACATGTGGGACACAACAGGCACTGTTGTATAAATGAATGAATGAGTGTCACTGGGGCATTAACTAGCTGTCCCAAATGTCTAAGTGAAAATATACACAGAAATGGAATAACATCTTGTTATTCTCTCTCAGCGTGAAATTCCTGAAACAATTCTATTGATTGAGTCAAATATTTACTAAGAATCTGTGATGGGCAAGAGATTCAGGATGCCTATTGGTCATCTCCTCCCCCAAAAACAAATGGCCTTATATTCTCACAACATTCTCAGAGTAATTTAACAGATGATTGTTCCTATGATCTTGATAATTGCTTTATTTTTAATTGTCTGGGTTTTTTTCTCACCAGGTGTAGGGAGTGAAGTCTCAGATAAGAGTACCTGTGTGAGCCTCACTACCCAGCGACTGCCAGTCAACAGAATCAAGACCTACACCATCAAGGAAGGCTCCTTGAAAGCAGTAATGTGAGTTTGCCTCCTCAGAAGTTGGGCTGGGTGGATATCTAGAGGTATGGAAATACAGTATACAGAAATGCTGCCTTCCTCAGGAAAAGTAGGTCAACATGGAGGAACACCTCAACTTAACTGATAAGCTCTTTATTTTTCCTTATCAATCATGTCTTTATGCAGTCCAACCAAATGGCAATTATTGCAAAAATTTGGCTGCCAAATAAAGAATAGAAGTCCTCCTCTATTTAGCTTAGTGGAAGAGTCTGTTGAATACTGTGCATAGCTCTGAGGTCTAGGTTTAGAGATGGCTGGCCCATGTCAGGGTTTCCCTGCAAGCCTCACTGGAGTTGGGGGTTCTTAGGATTGAGTTAGGCAGAGTCCCTTGCTTTATCAGTTGCCATATTTCAACGAAATGAGTCAATGCACAACCTACATGGTCCCTTTCTTCTACCAGAATCTCATTTTTAGAAGTAATAACTCTTCTCAACACATAATTGCAATCTTTACTCTAAAACATGAAAATGTAAAAATCACCTTTTATTAAAAAAATAAGATGAGTATTTTTACATTTGAAAAGGAAGAGGGTATGTAATAATGGAACTAGATGGCCTCAAATGTCTTTTTGTTACATTTGGTGACATGGATGAGAAAAGGAACCTGTGAATTGTGGTGAACAAAGGGGCTGGATACTACTTGCAGATATTTCTCCTTTATGTTAAAATAGATGACAGAAGACGGGTGCCCATTTTTGATCTCATGGCTCTGAAAGACTATTTCTTGCAGTAATTTCTGCACAAGATCTCTTCAAGTCTGCTCTGATCTTAACTCTTGACCCCAAGGCTTTGAGAATGTGGCTAAATTCGTCTGTGTTTTCCTTGCATTATAGTTTTATTACCAAACGTGGCCTAAAAGTCTGTGCTGATCCACAAGCCAGGTGGGTGAAAGACGTGGTCAAGAGCATGGACAGGAAATCCAACACCAGAAATAACATGATCCAGACCAAGCCAACAGGAACCCAGCAATCGACCAATACAGCTGTGACCCTGACTGGGTAGTAGCCTCTGGCACCCTGTCCCTCTCCAGCCAGCAAGCTCATTTCACTTCACACACGCATGGACTGAGTTTATACTCACCTTTTATGAAAGTATTGCATGAATAAAGTTATTCCTTTGTATTTTTACTTTTAAATGTCTTCTGCATTCACTTATATGTTCTAATTAATAAATTATTTATTATTAAGAATAGTTCCCTAGTCTATTCATTGTATGTAGGGAAAGGTAGTATATCATTTGTGTTTGATTTCTGTCCTACTTGTACCTCTCTTTGATGGTAACCATAATGGAAGAGATTCTGGCTAGTGTTTATCAGAGGTGAAAGCTGTAACAATCACTCTTAGAGTCCAGCTTGTAATGGTTCTTTACACATGAGTCACAAGTTACAGCTGTGACAATGACAACAATTCAAGATCTATTTCAACTTGTATCTATAATAAAATTCTATTTATACAATAAGGGAGAAAATAATCCAGTCTGCATAAACGTCTTCTTTTGAGAAATGTCTGTTCATATCCTTTGCCCACTTTTTGATGGTGTTGATTTTTTCTTCTAAATTTGTTTAAGTTCTTTGTAGATTCTGGATATTAGTCCTTTGTCAGATGGGTAGATTGTAAAAATTTTCTCCCATTCTGTAGGTTGCTTGTTCACTCTGATGGTAGTTTCTTTTGCTGTACAGAAGCTCTTTAGTTTAATTAGATCCCATTTGTCTATTTTGGCTTTTGTTGCCATTGCTTTTGGTGTTTTAGTCATGAAGTCCTTGCCCATGCCTATGTCCTGAATGGTATTGCCTAGGTTTTCTTCTAGGGTTTTTATGGTTTTAGGTCTAACATTTCAGTCTTTAATCCATCTTGAATTAATTTTCATATAAGGTGTAGGGAAGGGATCCAGTTTCAGCTTTCTACATATGGCCAGCCAGTTTTCCCAGCACCATTTATTAAATAGGGAATCCTTTCCCCATTTCTTGTTATTGTCAGGTTTGCCAAAGATCAGATGGTTGTAGATGTGTGGCATTATTACTCAGGGCTCTGTTCTGTTCCATTGGTCTATATCTCTGTTTTGGTACCAGTACCATGCTGTTTTGGTTACTGTAGCCTTGTAATATAGTTTGAAGTCAGGTAGCAAGATGCTTCCAGCTTTGTTCTTTTGGCTTAGGATTGTCTTGGCAATGCAAGCTCCTTTTTGGTTCCATATGAAGTTTAAAGTAGTTTTTTGGACCAATATCCCTGATGAATATCGATGAAAAAATCCTCAATAAAATACTGGCAAATCGAATCCAGCAGCACATTAAAAAGTTTATCCACCACGATCAAGTTGGCTTAATCCCTGGGATGCAAGGCTGGTTCAACATATGCAAATCAGTAAACATAATCCATCATATAAACAGAACCAAAGACAAAAACTACATGATTATCTCAATAGATGCAGAAAAGACCTTTGAAAAAATTCAACATCCCTTCATGCTAAAAACTCTTAATAAACTAGGTATTGATGGGACATAGCTCAAAATACTGAGAGCTATTTATAACAAACCCACAGTCGATATCATACTGAATGGGCAAAAACTGGAAGCATTCCCTTTGAAAACCGGCACAGACAGGGATAACCTCTCTCAGCACTCCTATTCAACATAGTGTCGGAAGTTCTGGCCAGGGCAATCAGGTAAAAGAAAGAAATAAAAGGTATTCAATTAGGAGAAGAGGAAGTCAAATTGTCCCTGTTTGCAGATGACATGATTGTATATTTAGAAAACCCCATTGTCTCAGCCCAAAATCTCCTTAAGCTGATAAGCAACTTCAGCAAAGTCTAAGGATACAAAACCAATGTGCAAAAATCACAAGCATTCCTCTACACCAATAATAGACAAACAGAAAGCCAAATCATGAGTGAACTCCCATTCACAATTGCTTCAAAGAGAATAAAACACCTAGGAATCCAACTTACAAGGGATGTCAAGGGCCTCTTTAAGGAGAATTACAAATCACTGCTCAATGAAATAAAAGAGGACACAAACAAATGGAAGAACATTCCATGCTCATGGATAGGAAGAATCAATATCGTGAAAATGGCCAGGCTGCCCAAGGTAATTTATAGATTCGATGCCATCCCCATCAAGCTACCAATTACTTTCTTCACAGAATTGGAAAAAAACTACTTTAAAGTTCATGTGGAACCAAAAAAGAGCCCGCATTGCCAAGAAAATCCTAAGCCAAAAGAACAACGCTAAATGCTCCAATTAAAAGATACAGACTGGCAAATTGGTTAAAGAGTCAAGACTTATCAGTGTGCTGTATTCAGGAGACTCATCTCATGTACAGAGACACACATAGGCTCAAAATAAAGGCATGAAGGAAGATCTACCAAGCAAATGGAAAACAAAAAAACCAGGGGTTGCAATCCTAGTCTCTGATAAAACAGATTTTAAACCAACAAAGGTCAAAAGAGACCAAGAAGGCCATCACATAATGGTAAAGGGATCAATTCAACAAGAAGAGCTAACTATCCTAAATATATATGCACCCAATACAGGAGCACCCAGATTCATAAAGCAAGTCCTTAGAGACCTACAAAGAGACTTAGACTCCCACGCAGTAATAATGGGAGACTTTAACACCCGACTGTCAACATTAGACAGATCCACGAGACAGAAAGTTAACAAGGATATCCAGGAATTGAACTCATCTCTGCACCAAGCAGACCCAATAGACATCTATAGAACTCTCCACCCCAAATCAACAGAATATACATTCTTCTCAGCACCACATCACACTTATTCCAAAATTGACCACATAGTTGGAAGTAAAGCACTCCTCAGCAAATGTAAAAGAACAGAAATTATAACAGTCTCTCAGACCATAGTGCAATCAAACTAGAACTCAGGATTAAGAAACTCACTCAAAACCGCTCAACTACATGGAAACTGAACAACTTGCTCCTGAATGACTACTGGGTACATAACAAAATGAAGGCAGAAATAAAGATGTTCTTTGAAACCAATGAGAACAAAGATATAACATACCAGAATCTCTGGGACACATGTAAAGCAGTGTGTAGAGGGATATTTATAGCACTAAATGCCCACAAGAGAAAGCAGGAAAGATCTAAAATTGACAACCTAACATCACAATTAAAAGAACTAGAGAAGCAAGAGTGAACACATTCAAAAGCTAGCAGAAGGTGTTGTTACTAACTGAGGTGGGAAAATGCAGTAGTTGCTGGTTTGAGGGAGAATATTAGGGGCTCTGTTTTGGTCATGTTAAGTTTAGGTGCTTAGTAGACATCTATATGAAAATGTCAAGTAGACAGATAGCTAGGTCAGGAATCCAGAGGACATGTTTAATCTGGAAATAATAATTTTGAAATCATCAGTTTATATGTGGCACTTAAAGCCTTGATAATGGGCAAAGCATGTAGGTAGAGCTGATTAAAAATATAAGAGGTTCAAGGACTGAGCCTGGGATACAGATTGGGAAAATGAGGAGGAATCAGCAAGGAAAATTGGCAAGTAGTCAGAAAGATATGAGGAAACCCAATCCTGTGTGGTATTCTGGAAATCAAGACAGGAGGGTGTTTGCACAAATAGGGTGAGCAACTTTGCCAAATGCTGTAAATAAGTCAGAAATTAGAACTCAAAAATAGTTGGATTTAAAAGCATGGCTGTCACAAAACGACCATAAGAGAAAAAATGTCAGTGGATTGGTAAGAGCAGAAACCTTTGAAGAAGGGTTGAGAAGACCTGGGAGAAGAATTAATGACAACTCTTTAAAGAGAATAATTTTAGACTACAGTTGTCTCATAAGCATCACTATAGAGGCTTGGAGAGAAAAAGAACTACAGCTGAAGTGGAAGTGGAGTCAAGAGAGGGTGTTTTGTTTGTTTATTTTGATTTTTACATGAGAGAAAAAATATCAAGTTTGTACACTAATGGAAATGATTCAGTGGAAAGTTTAACACTTAGTATAATATCCAGTGTATCATACACATATTATATATGATACATATGATACATATAATATATGTATCATATATAATATAGAATATATGTACTGTATATTAGAATATACATGTATATGTATCATATATAATATAGAATAGCATTTATATATTATATATTATATATTTTATATTGTATATATATAATATATACAATATATAAAAATGCTATTCTCTTAATAATATGAATTCATAAATGCATGCCCCTAGAAACTGGTTATGTACTCCTGATTCTTTACATTTTCAATTTCATTATTTCCACTAGAAACTAATGGTATTTGCAATTTGATCTATAGTTAAACTGTTTTCTGGTATGGATAAGAGAAAGAAATAATAAATAATACCTTGTTAGAGCCCATCATAATTACAGATTTTTGATAAAAATATGATTTCATTAAGAGTTTTATAAACAGCCATTAGACACAAATTACCTGCCCTTAACGTTGTAACAGTTTTAAAAAATAACTGTTGAATTCAAGATTAAAAGGAAACCTCCCCAGGCATAGACTGAGTCTTCCTCTTCTTTCAGCTACTACTGATTAGTATTTGATTTAATCCTGGATGTTTATTCAACGTTCCAGTGGCAGTAAAGTTGATTTCTCCTAAGAGTCTGATATCTGTGGACTCAGATCCCCCCTAATGGGAGTGGCACATCAACTTCTTAGGTAATTCAAGAAGTACCTCCTGCGTTGGCAGTCCCTTTCACTGACTTCAGTATTATTACTTGCTTTTGGTGTTACCTTAAGAATTCCTTCAAGAGAATGTGTTCAACATTGTGGTTTCCTGCCCAACTGCAGCTTAACTTTATAATAAAACACCCTTCAACCCTTCCTTCCTGTTGCTTCTGCCCTTGCCCCAAGCCAAGAGTAGTGAAAACTCTGCTAAGTAATAACCATAGGATCTCTCTCTTAGCCCCTTGGTCTCTACTTTCACTCTGGATATAATAACTTAGGCCACAAAATCATTCACAATTCCCATTGCAAAGCTTTTTATCTCTTTTCTATTAAAAA